TCTGTGTACAATGGCAGTCACATGGTCCCAGTGGCTTCTGAGTGCTGACCCGGCTTTGTGAAACTCGCGCAGGTACCTCGGGAAGGGTGTGCCAAGCTCAGTTTCTCTTGGGCGTTCGCTTATCAGGCTGTCGAGTGATACGGCATTTCGTGGCGGTTGCGGCAGCTGTCACCTTTCTCTGCCATCATTGCGGGTGTCAGAACTCTTTATGATGCCCCTGATTTTTCGTGGGTGCTGGTTTAAGTACCCTTACCCTTACCTATATAGTATATACGTGGGCCCTAAAGCTACAAAATGGGAACCCTTTAAGGCCCAAGTACAGATCCCTAAACCCTAAACCCTAAAGCCTGTACATGGACCCTTCGGTTTATGCAACAAACCCAAGCAAGCCCACGCAAAGGGCTCCATTTCTCGAGTCTCGAGGGTCCGGCGTGACAACATGCATCAAGCTGAGAGAGAGAGAGTTCAAAGATTCAGGTGCGTTCTGAATATGGTAAAAAAAGAGCACTTTTGTTCCTCATATTCTTCTGTCATTATATGACTATGAGAATATATTGTCCTACTATATATGATTATAGCAACAGGTTTTACAATATTATCTTCGTAGTTTGTTGCATGCATCCCTTACACCCGACCTTGTACCGGCCTTGCACTCATCAAGCTGCACGCTAGATCCTCTGACTTAAACCCCAAACCCTCAACCCTAAACCCTAAACCCTAAACCCTAGACCCTGAACCCTAAACCCTAAAACCTTAAGGTGCTGACGGCCGTGAAGAACGTGAATGAGCTGATAGCACCCAAGCTCTTCGGCAAGAGTGTCCTGGAGCAGGCAAGTCACGGAGCAGCGGTTCGGTAGCTCAGGGTTCAGGATTGTGGGGTTTAGGGTTTAGGGTTTAGGGTTTAGGCTTAGGGTTTAGGCTTAGGGTTTAGGGTTTAGGGTTTAGGGTTTAGGGTTTAGGGTTTAGGGTTTAGGGTTTAGGGTTAGGGTTCCTGGAACCTTCAAGCCTCACGACCAGGGGGTTTTTCATGGTCAACCGCGAAGTGCCCGACTACCACGAAACATGAAGGAAACTCTGTTGGCGAGGCTTTAACCCTAAACCCTAAACCCTAAACCCTAAACGCCCAGTCATACCCTTTCCCCTTTGTTTGAACCTTCGGGCCCGTTTACAAAACTCGTTCGACAGTGATTCCCTAAACTCTAAACCCGTAAGAGAGGCAGAGCTTGACAAGATGATGTACGAGGCAGCGGAGTCGGCTCGGGCGTGGAGTCGGTTGAACTTCCCCTATAAGGGTCCAGTACTTCAGACCTTTTTTAAGGGTTCCATGTACCTGCGTAGTATAGGGTCAGGGTTTAGGGTTTAGTTAGGGCTCATGGCTAGGGTATATGCTGGGCTCTCAAACTACTAGATGGAAGCCCCTTTAAGGCTTAGGGGTTCAAGTTCAGTAGGCATCCTGAGCTGTCACACTGGCTCGTGGGAATCAAGTCAGGGGTTTATAGTGTTTCGGGTGGCTCGAGAAGTACTGCAAGCAAAGCTACACTGCATCTGGAATTCTGGACCCGAAGCTCTGAAACCCGGAAGCCATGAACCCAACTAAGCCAAGCCCGAAACGCCCTAGACCCTCAACCCTTTGAGCTTCGAGGTTTGGAGGGGTTAGAACGCCTTCACCTGTTCCAAGAGCGTCTTCCCATGATGCACCGGCTCTGTGGGAGAGTACGAGCCCAGCCCTGTGTGCCCGAAGCATGAGAACGCCATACGCGGCCCTTGCATGTATCTGGGTCCCTTCCTCAGCCCCTAGAACCCCAAACCCCACACCCGAAAACCCCTAGAACAGAACCCTAAAACTCCAAACCCTAAACCCTACACCCTAAACCCTAAACCCTAAACCCTAAACCCTAAACCCTACACCCAGACATTCAGTCGCTTGCCCAGCAGGAGTTGGATGGCTCGCAGAATGAGTGGGGATGGTCGAAGAGCAAGCTAGGACGGATCAGCCCCTGGGAACCTCTAAGCCCACACCCCTGACCCCTTTAGGGTTTAGGGTTTAGGGTTTAGGGTTTAGGGTTTAGGGTTTAGGGTTTAGGGCTGCGGGACCCGATTTTCTTTGCGCCTCCTCACATCCCCGAGCCCTAGCAAGTTCTCTGCTGACACAAACTTTGAGCTTTTCCTTTCTGTTCTCGCCAGGTGAGAAGCAATAGTTAGGAGATCAAAACAGAATGTGTTTTTTTCAAGATGTACTTTTGCAAGTTTAACTCGGACCCAGAGTGTACCCTAACTCCCTTTTCTAAGCCCTTTACCAAAAGGGCACCCTTTTGTTTCCCAGGTTGCTCTTGGGTCTAGCCCTCAACCCTGAGGGTAGTTACCCGGGGCCCTTCATTTGGTCCCTTACCTCCTTATTCATAGGGTTTAGGGTTTAGGGTTTAGGGTATGTAAGGGGTACATAAGGGTTCCCTTTTAGAGGTCCATACTAAGGGCCCATGAAAGGTGGCCAGAGTTTTCGGGCGGAAGCGGCTGGCTTTGCTTGTGTAGATAAAGGTGAGAAGCAGGAGACTTTGACACAAGCGCTGTAAAATGCCAGCACCATGCCTTCTGCCCCGGCAACCCACATGTTTAGGGTTTAGGGTTTAGGGCTATACGAAACTTTACGAAGCCCGCCACCCCTAAACTCCAAACCTTAACATCCTAAACTGGAATTCTGAGGGATCGGGATCCATACATACTACATACCACAGAATCTTCCACCCTAAACCCTAAACCCTAAACCCTAAACCCTAAACCCTAACCCTTAAACCCGACAAACCGAAGCGTAGAGGAGCCAACGCAATTTTGGCGGCCCCTTCGCGGCATTTCGCAAGCTCCGGCATTCACTGACCTTAGGTCTGAGCTCGCCCGCCTTCCCTAAACCCTCTGATGCGAGACCCTGAGCTGAGCTTAGGGTCTAGGGTCTAGGGTCTAGGGTCTAGGGTCTAGGGTTTAGGGTTTAGGGTTTAGGGTTTAGGGTTTAGGGTTTAGGGTTTAGGGTTTAGGGTTTAGGGTTTCGGGTGTAGGAGAAGTCTGTCACTGTTCATGTGATTACCGGTTCTGAGGAGGGAATTCGGGGCTTAGGTGCCTCCAGCCCTCGTGGGTTTAGGATTTAGGGTTTAGGGTTTAGGGTTTAGGGTTTAGGGTTTAGGGTTACGGGTTCAGGGTTACCTAACTCCCAAAACAACTTCACAAAGCTTCTAACTCAACAGCCCTAAACAGGGTGTAGGGTTGATAGGGTTTAGGGTAGAGGGTTTAGGGCAGCACCTAGACCCAAAAGCCAGCAAAGATGTTGTACGACAGACAACCCAATTTTCAATCTTTGCGCTTCAAAAGTCCCCTATAGACCCTAACTCTTAAGGGGTACCCCAACACCTACATCCCTGTAGGCCCTTCCGCCCTGATCCAGCGCAGACCCGGAACCTCTCTTGGTGCCGCCGTGCGAATCGCCACCCCCCCCCCCCCACCTGGTACCCCCTCCCCCTCCCAAAACGCGAACGCGTGATACTACATACTAGATAATGATAGATGGTCGTGTTTGGGGTTTCATATTAGTTTCGTAGCATGGCCGTGGCCGCTGACAAGAGAGCCTCGTGCCATGTGCATGACATCGGCATTTCCATGTTGAGGGGCTCTTTTCCCAATGGAACATCCTTTAAAAAGGAGGGTTTAGGTTTTAGGGCTTATAAGGGTTTGGCGTGTAGGGCTTAGGTTTAGGGCTTAGGGTTGAAGAAGGCACCCTGAACTCCTAAACCCGAAGCCTTAAACCCTAAATCCTAAACCCTGAACCCTAAACCCTAAACCGCAAGTCAGGTTAGCATGGCTATCTGCCGGGCGGCGGCTGCTTGCAAGAATCAGACGCCGCTCGGGGAGAAGACTTAAGGTGATTGCCTCCGGGCTTCGGGTTATGGGGGATAGGGGTTTAGGGTTTGGGGGGTTAGTGTTTAGGGTTAAGAGTTTAGGGTTTAGGGTTTAGGGTGGGTCAGGCTTTTGGGTTGAGGGTTTCTTGCCTCACAGTGAAGTTTAGGTTTAGGGTTTCAGGGTTCAGGGTTCAGGGTTTAGGGTTTAGGGTTTAGGGTCTAGGGTCTAGGGTTTTGCAACTTAGGCTCATGCAGTGCATGGTTGTGCCTTGCAACTTGGGCACTCGCCGAGGTATTCGGTGCATGGTTTTTGCTGTGTCTACCAATCCCTTCCCCACGAGGGGTTTAGGGTTTAGGGTTTAGGGTTTAGGGTTTAGGGTTTAGGGTACCTCATAGTTGGACTTCCGTCCTCTAGCCCAGTATATTCTGGCTCCTTGCTAGCGTCCAGCACACATGGCTGTCACGGTTGGGGCTACTAGAAGTCTGCGACTAGTTGAGGTGTGAAGCATTCTCTGACCCCTAAACCCTAAACCCTAAACCCTAAACCCTAAACCCTAAACTGCAGGTCTCAGGGTTCAAGGTGACATGACATGGTGGAGTCTCAGTTCAGGACTCTGCGAAGCGGGTCAGACTGACCTGAACAAATCTGTATTTCCCCAGAGAATCCAGCATCATCCCTGCAGCGTGGACATAGGAGACAGAGCATGAGCTACAAGGGACCCCCCCCCCCCCTTCGCCCTTCTCCACGCAAACCCTTCCGAAACTTTCGCCCTGTCGACCATCACGAGCTAGCTGGGGGAAGACGCTTGCTTGACTGTCTGTTGGTTAGTAGGGAATGGGTGAGGAAGGTATCATACCTCCTCTACATACCCTTTAAGGGATCATAGTATCATATATCCCCTACATACCCTTTAAGGGATCATATATGGTACTTTGTTCCCCCATACACTACTAGCTAGGATGCCTAGTAGTACCCTTATTCCCTTTTTGCTAGGTTTAGGTTCCCTTATATACCCCTTTAAGCAAAAAAGGGCACCCTTTTTCATCCTAGATTGCTGGGCAACCTAGTTAAGGGATCATATATGGTACCTTGTTCCCCCATACACTACTAACAGTAAGATGAGGCTCTATCAGCGGGTCGCGGAGCTGGCCGGCAAACCCACCGACAAGTTCGTGCTCCCCGTGCCTGCGTTCAACGCGCCTGGGCTTCGCAAGGGTTTAGGGTTTAGGGTTTAGGGTTTAGGGTTTAGGGTTTAGGGTTTTGGGTTTTGGGGTTTAGGGTTTAGGGTTTAGGGTTGGGCCATACCTTGTGAGTTCGAGCAAGTACGTACTCACTTCGGATAACAAGGTATCCCCTAACATTCCTTAGAAGGTTGTAAAGGTGGATGTACTACGTGCCCTATGAATTGTTAGTCGGATACAGTACGCCCTCAACCGATCTTATGAGGTTGGGCAAGTTTTGGAGAGTCCGAGACCAGATCCCGAATGCCCACGTGCGCACAAGGACGCCGAAAACATCTTTTAAGCCCGACATATCCCTAAACCCTATAAACCCGAAGCCCTAACCCCCCCCCCCCCCCCTCCGCCCCCTTGTCCCTCCCCCTTCCCCTAAACCCTAAACCCTAAACCCTAAACCCTAAACCCTAAACCCTAAACCCTAAACCCTAAACCCTAAACCCTAAACCCCCTCCAGGTGATCAACGGCGGCAGCCATGCCGGGAACGGGCTTCCGGTTCAGGACGGGGGCCTCAGATGTGCTTTTAGTGCCAGGGTTTAGGGTTTAGGGTTTAGGGTTAGGGTTTAGGGTTTAGGGTTTAGGGTTTAGGGTTTAGGGTTTAGGGTTTAGGGTTTAGGGTTTAGGGTTTAGGGTTTAGGGCTTAGGGCTTAGGGCTTAGGGCTTAGGGTTTAGGGTTTAAGGTAATTCTCCAAACAGGGGTTCTAACTTCATTTATGGATTGCCGAGATTCTGAGGACTGTTGCCGGGTTCCTGGGCTCCCTTGGTCTCCCTTTGTCTCCCTTTGTGGCTTTGCCGGCTTGCCTTGCTCCTCGTCTCCCTTCGTCTCCCTTCGTCTCCCTTCGTCTCCACTGTCTCTTTGACGTGCCTTTGACTGTTTGGGGCCTTCGGTGGTGCAATTAGGGGTTTATAGGGTTCCGAGTGCGAAGAGGAGGCCCTAAGGGTCCATGTACCTGGGCAAACTTGGGCCCTGAAAGACGTTCCCCTAGAGTAGCTTTAGGTCCCAAGTAGATATGCTATGTAGGCACATGGACCCTTAGGGTTAGGGAGTATGGCTGCGCCCTCACCTCCCATGCTGCCCAGTGGGAATGTGGGGCTTAGGCCTGCACACATGGGCACAGCGCAGGCCACTCTGTCCCTTGAAGCCCTCCACCCTCTAATTTTACTCCTTGAACCCGCTTCGTCCCTAAGCCCGTGACTCCAGAGTATGGGTGGTTCCCCAAATTACATCGGGGTACCCTTCATATACCCCAAAATAGTATAATCCTTATTATCGGAACCCCCAAAATGGTACCCCCCAATTTTCGGAAACCCCTCAGTCGCTCTTAGACAGGAGATCAAACCCTAAACCCTAAACCCTAAACCCTAAACCCTAAACCCTAAACCCTAAATCGCTCTTGGACAGGAGTTCATGATCCTGCCGGTGGGAGCCGGATCTTTCCGAGAAGCGTTGCAGATCGGGGCCGAGGCGGATCTCGGATGCTGGTTTAGGATAAGGGCCAAGGGGGACCCTTTTAAGGGAACCCCTTCTGAACCCTCTTGTGGCGCTCTTAAACAGGGACCTTATTCAGAGGGTCTTTATCCCCAAGGGTCCCCCTAATCCCATCCCCCATGGTTTTAAGGGCTGAGGGTTTTGGTTAGGGTTGGGAGGTTCAGCTGATGAGGTTCAGGAGGTTCAGTGGGGTTTTGGAGTTCGGAGGTTCAGGGTTTATAGGACTTAGGAGAACCCTAACCCTAAGCCCTAATTCCTAAACCCTAAACCCTAAACCCTAAACCCAGTAAAGGGCTTGGGGGTTTGGAGGTTTAGGGGCGTTCAGGTTTGGGAGTTGGGGGGTTCAGGGCTCGGTGCTTGCAGGTTTAGGGCTGTGAGGTTCCGGGGTGACCAGCACTGGGGTTAGGGGTTATATATAGTGTTAGGGTTTAGGGTTTGGGGTTTGGAGTCTTGGAAGTTTAGGAAGTTTAGGAGTTTTGGGGTTTAAGATGGTATTTAACGTAGCTCGCTTCCCAGTTTCCTGGGAGAATCTGGCAAAAGACAAATCCCCTTGAGGGTTTCGGGTTGGGGGTTTAGGGCCTTGTCACTTATCATCTTTACTCGCTTCTGACTTCGGTGCTCTCCGAATCTTGCGTCTTGGCCCATGCTGCAAGAAACGACTTATCTTCTCAAAGCCCCGAACCCTAATCTTAAACACTGGCCAAACCGCTACAACCCTAAGCCAAAGAAGCCAGGGACTTTATGTCCTACTGTACTAGCGGCTATTCTTGGTAGGTCCCTGGGAATCCAAGCTTTACAAGGCCAAGCTCGAATTTTAGTTCTTCCAAGTCCCCCAAAATATAGACCTTGTGACAGTTTATCTCGAGATTATGGATGTCATAGGGGAACCATAAACCCTAAACCCTAAACCCTAAACCCTATAGGAGTAGGGGCATGCAAGCCTCATCACATTGGCAGGTCTACCACCACCTCAAGAAGGTGATTCAGGTGCCGGGGGGTTGGGCTGTACATCGGGGGTGTTTGCTAAACCCTGAACCCTGAACCCTAAACCCTAAACCCTAAACCCCCTCAGCACCACCCGGAAGGAAACGACGGCCTCTGCAGCTCCTCTCAAACGTAGGAAGGGTGCAGGGTCTGACCCCATGACCTTCCGCCGACCTCAAGCGCCACCACGCGAGACCCACATCGCGGTGTTGGGGTTTGCGGTTTGTGTTTAATGTGGTCCCTTATTTTGGCCCACGTCTTGAAGGGGTATAGAAGGGCGTGAAGGGACCATATCAAGTCCCCTTTCCATGTAACTACCCCGAAAAACTCTAAACCCCAAAGCCGAAACCCTAAACCCGAAACCCGAAACCCTAAACCCTAAACCCTACACCCTAAACCCTAAACCCTAAACCCTAGCCCTAAACCCTAAACCCCACGATCCGGGACTCCCTGGATCACCCTGAACCCTATACCCGTAACTGCCCTTAGATTGTGGGGCATCCGCAGGAGACTCCCAAACCCCTTGATTAAGGAATCTACCTTAATTCATAGTTATGGTTCCTAGTATAAGTGAGGACCCTAAACCCTAAACCCTACATTCCTTAATTAGGGGTTTTGGAGTCTCTGAGTCCGCAGGAGAAGTATGGCCAGGATGCCACGAACGTTGGTGATGAAGGCCCGGAAGCCTCCAAAACCAAGGGCCTCTCAATGATGAGAAGGGTTTAGGGTTTTGGGTTTTGGGTTTAGGGTTTAGGGTTTCAGGGTTTTGGGTTTCAGGGTTTAGGGTTTCAGGGTGTAGGGTTTCAGGGTTTAGGGTTTCAGGGTTTAGGGTTTAGGGTGCTGGGTGCATCCCCGTCTTGTCTCCGCTCCTGCCATGACCCAATTCACCCCTTCGAAAGCCTGAAGCCTAAACCCGATACCCTACATACACCAAAATAAGGTTCAGGGTTCAGGGCTTAGGGCTTAGGGTTTAGGGTTTACGGTTTAGGGCTTAGGGTTTAGGGTTTAGGCTTTAGGGTTTAGGGTTGCTCCTCGATTGGAAACCCTAAGCCCTAAGCCCTGCACCTTAACCCTGGCAGAGCGTCCGCAGGCTTGAGGCTGCAGGATGTACAGGGACAACGAGTCGGGGAAGTTCGGGGTTTAGGGTTTAGGGGTTTAGGGTTTGGGGTTGTCCCTGTAGTAGAGCGAGAGTCTAGGTAGGCCCTGTTTTTAAGATGTGCCTCGCACGTTTCTCTTGTTTGGGGGTGGGAATCTTGCCGACTGAGATTTTCACAGGGTCAACCGTCGATCAAAATAGGGGCTCTTTTTTGGGGGCTTCACTATGTGTAAGTAAGGATTGTAGAAGGGTGTAGAGTGTAGAGTTGAGGATTTAGGCTTTAGGGTTTAGGGTTTAGGGGTCTATGAAGGGGACCCCCCATTTTGGGGTGGAATGCCCACATTGAGCCCACGCAGTCCTGACCAGAAGCAGCAAGCAGACTGCTGGGTGCTGTGGGTACGGCACCCCTTGAGGATGCCCTGCGCCTGCTCCAGCCGGTTTAGGGTTTAGGGATTTTAGGGTTTTTTAGGGTTTTAGGGTTTAGGGTTCAGGGTTCAGGGTTTAGGGTTTAGGGTTAGGGTTTAGAGTCTAGGGGAGGCTTGATACGGCCACCGAAGAGCAACTTCACGCTGCCCGTCGGGGTTTCTTCTTTGCGCAGGACCGAGTCGGGGTCAGCTACACTGTTCGCGGCAGACAGCCTTTCCCAGCTTCGGATGGCAGGCAATGCACCCTAAACCCTAAACCCTAAACCCTAAACCCTAATCAACGCGGCAACCCTAAACCCTAGAACCCCAACACCCCCAAGCCGGGTTTAAGGGTCCATCCTGGGAGGCGGATTCGCGCCGAACGTCCTGGAGAGCGACGAAGCACTGCAGGCAACGGACATGCCCCTGCCATAGTACTGCACTACCCAGAGACTCCAGAACCCCTTAATGAAGGAATGCACCTTGCACCATATTAAATAGGGTTCCTACTAGAATTTAAAGGATATTCCTTATTTATCGGCAGGTTGGCCTTTTGGGACATTGAGGTGTCTTCCTTCTGCGTGCCTCAACTTAAACCCCACGAGTATGTCACCCTATGACGCCTAGAAATATGTTGGGTCTGTAGGGTGTCGCTTCTTCCCTCGCAGGTGCTGATGACAGCCATCGAGAAGTCTGGCCACGCCGCTCGGTCCCACATGAAGCTCAAAGCTCCAGCATCCTGCAGCCCTGAACCCTACATCCCAAAGTGCACAGCCGAAACCTCTATAGGGTTTAGGGTTTAGGGTTTAGTAAGTAGGGTTTAGTAAGTAGGGTTTAGGGTTTAGGGTTAGGGTTTAGGGTTTGTGATGCCTCTTTCTTTAGTTGGGTTTAGGGTGTAGGGGAAGGGGGGGGGGGGGCAATATTTCAAAAGAAAGTATTTCGGGGTTGTTAAGGCTCCGATCATTGCAGATTAGCATTTTGGGGGCTACATGAGGGGGTGCCCCTCTTGGAGGCTCATGGGTAGCTATGTAAGTAGGGTTCTAAGTGGGGCAACTATGCTTGTAGGCCTATCTAGGGTACTTATAATCCTACTTATACTCATAACCCTACTAAGGGTACTTATAACCCTATTAAGGGTACTCATAACCCTATTAAGGGTACTCATAACCCTATTAAGGGTACTTATAATCCTACTTTTACTCATAACCCTACTAAGGGTACTTCTAATCCTACTTAGAACCTCCCATGAACCTCCAAGTAAACCCTTACACGCACCGAAGCAAGCCCTAACCCTAAACCCTAAACCCTAAACCCTAAACCCTAAACCCTAAACCCTCTAGGCCCTATATAGAGGGTCTAAACCCGAAAGTTCGCCTCAACCCGAAACCCGAACTCCCTGAACCGTGCCCAGCACCCACCCTTCAAGGGTTTAGGGTTTCGGGTTTAGGGTTTAGGGTTTAGGGTCCACTTCCTGCCTCATAGGGGCAGATACAGTATGTAATTCCTTAAAGTCTTAAAGGGTATAGGTGACCTACTTCCCTCATTCCAGACTACTTGGAAGCCCTTTTGACATAGCAAGTCTACATAGTATCCCCCCAGAAATCTTAAAAGAATCCTAAACCCTAAACCCTGAACCTCAAACCCTAAACCCCAAACCCCAAACCCTAAACCCTAAACCCTAAACCCCAAACCCTAAACCCTAAACCCTAAACCCTAAACCCTACTAAGTCAAAAGGGCTTCCAAGTACGAACTAGTAAGTTTGAAGGCTGCGAAAGTCAAGCTTGGCACCGATGTGGCGGCCTCTGAGTTCTATGATGCTCCGCCGGCCGCAGCTAAGGGTTTAGGGTTTAGGGTTTAGGGTTTAGGGTTTAGGGTTTAGGGTTTAGGGTTTAGGGTTTAGGGTTTAGGGTTTAGGGATATATGTCCGGCAGGCCCTTGGGATATTTCATGTTTTCCCAATCTTTCCCTTTCTTGGGTTTAAGAGTATCGTCTCTAGGAGTAGGTTTTCCGAGAGCTTCAGGGGCCAGCCTTAGTGTTTGCATGTTTCCCTCTGTTTTTATAGAGGCTTTATTATGATTATTAATATTTATTATTATTATTATTACTATTATATATATATGTATATATATATGTATATGTATATGTATATGTATATGCATATCTATATGTATATGTATATGTACATGTATATGTATATGTATATGTATATGTATATGTATATTATTATTATTATGTTTCAGGTTTGGGGGTTTAGCGGTTTCTTGTGGGCTTTCGGGTTGATATGGGAGATCAAGGGTCTAGGGGGCTTAGGGTAGGGAGCTAGGGTGTATGTGGGTGCTCCAGGGTTTTAGTGGTTTTTGGGGTTTGGAGAAGGGCCGTAGGGGTTAAGAGGGGTTTGGGGTGCACAGGGCTGAGGGTTTGCTAGCTTATTCTTAGTGGGCTCGTTGAGGGGCTTTGGGTGCATGGGGCTGAGGGTTTCCTAGCTTATTCTTAGTAGGCTCAAGAGGACTGCTTTAGGATGTTCTTGTTCAGAAGGTGCTTGGGGCCATCCTGGTATAGGGTTTAGGGCTTTCGATTCTAGAGTTCTCGGCTTTTGGTCTTTATTATGGTTCGGGGGTCAACTACAGTTTAGTTTTTTCCCTCATGTTCGGAGATGTCCGTATTTTGAGTTCTCCGAGGCCAAGGAAAAGAAGTACGACTTGTACTGGAAGGACAAGGAGAAGAAAGGGCCGCGTGGCTGAAAGGGGCGGGGTCGTGTCTGCGCAGAGCTCCTCCAACAGTCAAGCTCCCCACAGCTCCCACCCCTAAGCCCTAAACCCTAAACCCTAAACCCTAAAGCCTAAAGCCTAAACCCTAAGCCCTAAGCCCTAAGCCCTAAGCCCTAAATCAAGAATCCTACTACGCTTAGAGTAAATCCCCAAAAGTTGGAACATCGTGATCCTCATATCCCAAGAGGGTTACTAAAGGGAATCCTAGCACCAATCCTTAGTAGCTGAGTGAGCACACTTTACACTTTTTGGGATACTATAATCCCCCCATAGAACTGAAAGTGTACACTTTTTTTTTTTTTGGGTTTAGGGTTTAGGGTTTAGGGTTTAGGGTTTAGGGTTTAGGGTTTAGGGTTTAGGGTTTAGGGTTTAGGGTTTAGGTTGGGGGGGGGGGGGCTTATGAACTCAGCAACTAAGAATCGTCCTTAAACCATGTTCCAACTTTCTGGCGTTTCTTGTAGCTCCGAGCCATGAAGTCTGTCCTTGGTGTGGCCGGGTTTGGGGTTTAGGGTTTCGGGTTTAGGTTAGGGTTTCGGGTTTAGGGTTTAGGGGTTTAGGGTTTAGGGTTTAGGGTTTAGGGTTTAGGGTTTAGGGTTTAGGGTTTAGGGTTTAGGGTTTAGGGTTTAGGGAACTTAGGGAACTTAGGGGGGACGGTTCAGGCCCTTAGTTTTCGTTTTCAGTTTCAAGACACAGACAGAGGCTTGCAAACAGCGATGCGGAAGCCTCTAGAAGCCCTAAAAGGCCCTAAGCCCAAAAGCCTCCAATGTTGAGGCAAAAGCTGATGACCACGACCGAGCTGGCCGAATACTTCAAGAGTTGGACTGACAAGTGGCTGGCCTGCTCTGGGGTTTATTTAGGGTTTAGGGTTGAGGGTTTGGGGTTTAGGTTTGGGGTTTAGGGTTTAGGGTTTCGGATTTAGGGTTTAGGGTTTCGGGCTTAGGGCTTAGGGTTTAGGGCTTAGGGTTTTGGGTTTAGGGTTTAGGGTGGGTGCGGCTAGAGGCTTGAGGGGTGTAAGGTTTAGGGCCTTTTTGGAGCTTAGGAGCTCGGCTTGAGGGCTTTAGGACGTTTGCCCTTCTTCTGCCGGAAACGTGGGCGCTTTCTGGGGTTTAGGGTTTAGGGTTTAGGTTTTAGAGTTTAGGGTTAATTGCTTCTAAAGGTTTGTTTCGGGCTTCTGCCTGAGATTTCAGTCAGGCTGTATCCAGTCTTAGACGTCTCGTTTAGGGATTCAATCTTGGCTTAAGGACTCTTGTGGGAACCCCAAGACCGCAAACCCTAAACCCTTAACCCCAATATCTAAGCTCTGCCGTACAGAGATGAGAAGTCTGCTTCAAGCCCTTCAACCGCCCGTGTGGGCTCAATCATGGTCCCCTATGTATGGGGTTTTTTTACACGCCAGAAAGGGGACCATACCCCACACACGCCTTTCGATCCGCAACCCCTAAACCCTAAACCCAAAACCCTAAACCCGAAACCCTCAACCCTCAACCCTAAACCCTAAACCCTAAACCCTCCCTCAGAACCCAGACGCCATGGCAGAGGTACCCCATGGTCTCCATTGAGGATCCTTTTGACCAGGCGCGCGGGGGTGTAGGGTTTCGGGTTTCGGGTGTAGGGTTTAGGGTTTAGGGTTTAGGATTTAGGGTTTAGGGTGTAGGGTTTAGGGTTTAGGATTTAGGATTTAGGGTTTAGGGCTTAGGATCAACATCCCTAGGCCCCAAACCAACCAAAATCCTTGTGCTCATCCCCTGACCCAGGCCAGATCCCCAAAGTCCCTTACCTTGTAAACCCTTACACCTGAAACCCAAAGCTAAATACTAGCAGCCGCCCTAGATCCTAAGCACTTAGGCCCTATAAACCCCAAATCTCTTAGATCGGGATCCAGCCGGAGGACGATTGGGATGGCTACAAGCCTTTCACGGCTGCCATCGGAGACAAGGTTTGGGCCCTTTTCGGGGACTCGGGAATTTGTGGGTAAGACAGTAACCCCCTAAAGAAGCCACAGAGGTTGGCGGGGACCCTAAACCCTAAACACTAAACCCTAAACCCTAAACCCTAAACCCTAAACCCTAAACCCTAAACCCTAAACCCTAAACCGAGGGTTGCGGGGTCGGGGCTTCATGAATCACGAGGCCTGTTCTTTACTTGAGTTAGTCAGTTGATTAGTTGTGTGGATGTGCTAGAGATAGTATAGCGAGCTCCCTTCCCGGCTGAGCCATAGCATCTCAGTCGCCAAGGAATCATCGTCCAAACACGAACTTGATGAGGTTCGGGGCCCTAAGCCCTCAGACCCTTATAAGGGACCTCGGGGATTACTTCGGGGTTCTTTAGGGGCTACTTAGGTATATGGGACTACATATGGTATATATATATATATATAGGGGTCCCTCCTTATCCCCCTTAAAGCCCACACCGGAGAGCTAAGCCATCTTGGGGTGTTCCCGCAAGACTCCCCCTGAATGGAGGTTTAGGGTTTAGGGTTTAGGGTTTAGGGTTTACGGGCAGAGCTATTCTACTCAGCCCCTTGTCCCTCTTAGGGGTAGTTTAGGCGGGGTGAGGTAGACCTGCGGACTCCTCCTAACGATGCATGTTTCCTTTGTTTCTAAACCCCGATGGGTTTTGGGCCTTCTTGCTGACAGACAAGGTCCAAATCGTCGGAGATGATCTCCTGGTCACCAACCCCAAGCGTATCGGCAAGGCTGTTGAGGACGGCGATGCGCCTTGGTGCTAGCACAGATGCACAATCTAGAGTGCACAGGTCGAGGCTTGCCTCCTTCTCTCTCCAAGCCCCACTCCCACTCCCATTCATGCCAACGCTCGGTTGTTTATTTTTATTTTTTCTTTTTCTCTCTCTCTCTCTCTCTCTTTCTCTCTCTTTGTCTCTCTCCCTCCCTCCCTCCCTCCCCTCCCTCCCCTCCCTCACCCTCTCCCGCCCTCCCCTCCCTCCCCTCCCTCCCTCCCTCCGTTCGTCCGCCGTCCCTCCCTCCCTGCCCCTCCCTCTCCCTCTCCCTCTCCCCCTCCCTCTCCCGCTCCCTCTCTCCCTCCCTCCCTGTCTCTCGCTCGCTCTCGCAGCGCAGTGCTAACTACGCTCATGGTCACGGATTGCCCGTTCGTCGGCATTTTCCATGGTAGCCCACCAGGTCTTGCATGCAGAGTTTATGGTTTAGGGTCCTCTCTCCACAGATGAAGCAGATGAAGCCTCTTTCCCTGAGGCCTGCAATGCCTTGCTGCTGAAGGCGGGCAGAGTCCATCCGTTCTTCGATATGCTTTGAGTGGGTTTTGTACGGCAAGCCTTCTCACAGCCAGATCTCGGTGCCTTTGGGCATCACTCTTGTAAGACCTTGAATCGACCTGTCAGTTTTATGGGGGGGGGGGGGGATCCGACAATCGGGGTACCCTTTCTGTGGTTTCCTTAGTCAAGTTGTTTTTGTTTTTTCGGGGGGAGGGGGGGGGGGTGGAGATGTATGGGGCCTATTCGAGAAATACCCAGAAGGGCCCACTGTCGGGCCTTCCAGGAAGGGGAGTGGTAGCGAGAAAAATAGGGGTCCTCTCCAAATTAGGTTGTCCAGCGTTTTGTCTTTTTGGGGGTTGGTTTGGGCTTTACGGGTCTGCCAAAAAGCCCTAAAACATCGAGAGCCTCCAGATGTCCAGCCGTGGAAACACCCCTAAGCCCTAACCCACACAGCCCATGAGACCCCTAAGCCTTCGACCTCCCAAAGCTCATGATCCTCCGAAGCCAAGCACAATAACAACTCCAACGTCCAAACTCAAGCCCATGAACATCAGAAGCCCATGAAAGGCGCCCACGCCCCTCTCAATATTTCCCCATGTTAGCCATAAACATAATGATACTAAATGAAGTAGAATACAATAAATGCATAAGACCCACACCTCTAAACCCGAAACCCCCCCCCCCCTCCCCCCCGCCCGCCCCCCTCCGCCCCGCCCGCCCCCCTCCCCCCGCCCGCCGCCCTCCCTCCGCCCGAAGCATATACAGTTCAAAACATGAAGTTCTACCATATGGAGCCTTGAAACTCAGGTACCCCCGAAAGGGTGCCCCAGTTTGGAGAACTGCCCCAGATAAAAGGGTTCGGATCCCTTAAACAAAGGGACGCTCCAAGAAAGGATGCCCGGTTGAGTCCAAGGCCCTACTTGGAGGTTCAGGGTACTTCGTAACCCAGTAGAAGTGTAGTTATAACCCACTTATTATAGGCCCCTTGAGTGCCGTAATAGGGATAAGAAAAAGACAGTTGTTGTAACATTCTTTGGACAAAGAATGACAAAGGCGTGATTTGCACCAGCACCCTGCTTGCTGTTGTCTTTTGGACTCCAAGAGCCTGGCATTTCCGGTGGCGCGAAGAGGCGAAAGCGTGAAGACCCCGATTTGTTGCTTGCAGATGTGAAGATGGCGAGTCGTAGCCGCCAGCGAAAACTGAAGTGCAGACATGGGTTCGTGGGCGGACACGCGAAGGCTTGGATGCGAAAGAAACGCATCGTTCGGATTGTTATTATTCCCAGTATTGTCATGAATTCTATTATTATTATGATTATTATGTCTATTTATAACTGGGGTATAAGTACAGTTGTAATTGGGTTACTAAGTACCATGAACCTCCAAGTATCAACCGTAAACCCTAAACCCAAATTGGGGTCATATACCCTATACTACTACAATCCCCATGAAAGTATATAGACCATAACCCCTTTTAGGGTTCATGTGGTCCCCAAGGCAGAAGGGCCCTCTAAACCGTAAACCTTACTTGGAGGTTCTTGGTACTTAGTAACCCAATTGTAACTGCACTTATAGCCGAATTCTAACCCTATTGGGACACTTAACGGGCTTATATGTGGGTTATCCCTACACTTGCAATGGGTTACTAGGTGCCCTGAACCTCCAAGTGACCCTAAACCCTAAACCTAAACCTAAACCCTAAACCCTAAACCCTAAACCCTAAACCCTAAACCCTAAGCCCTAAACCCTAAATCGGCTGCTCAGGTGAACCAGATCGGTTCCATCTCCGAGGCCATCGAAGCCTGCAAGCTCTGCCAGGACGCGAGCTGAGGGTTTGGGGAAATTTCTGGGGTTTAGGGTTTAGGGTTTATAGGGTTTAGGGTTTAGGGTTGCTGGTGGGGCGGAGGCCCTGGGACTTTGGCGTAAAAGTTCCGGAGAAGTTGGAGTTGAGGGCTTCTTCAGCGTTTGGGGCTTACTTCCAGTAAAGGCTCCCCCCAGAGCCGTCAAGAAAGCAACGAACCCGATTTTTTCTTAGCCATGAAGCCCACATCCTAAACCTTACGGTTGGATAGCAGGGAATGAGGGATTGAGGGCCCCATATATACCCTTTAAGGGATTATGTCGGGTACATTCCCGCATTCCCTTCTAACCAACAGTAAGAAACTCGGAAGCCTAGCCTCATTCTTGAGGGACCTGCCTTCGTGGCACTCCGAACTCGAACCCCAAGCCTATGATTATACATCCTACTCAACTCGGAGGTACGTTTTCGGAGCGAGGAGGGGGGGGGGGGGGGGGGGGGGGGGGTGAGGGCATGCAATTGGGGGTAGGGGGGTGGGGCCTTAGGGGAGCCCTTGCCGCTTGTCTCAGGACCGAGGTTGGGGCGCACCCCGGCTGCATGCCATGCTGTAGGCCCTGAAGGCCCTAAACAAATGAACCCTACAAGCCCTTCACCCTTTAAGACCCTGTATTCCGAACTTAAGCCTAAACCCTAAACCCTAAACCCTAAACCCTAAACCCTAAACCCTAAACCCTAAACCCTAAACCCTAAACCCTAAACCCCAAGTTCAGAATTCTGAGAGCTAAAACTCCAGGGAGCCAGCCTTCGCCTCCCGGATCTAGAAGTAGAGCCCCATGCAATACCCTACACTAGTAGGTTGGGTTTAGGGTTTAGGGTTTAGGGTTTAGAGTTTAGGGTTTAGGGTTTAGGGTTTAGGGTTTAGGGTTTAGGGTTTAGTGTGTAGGGTGCAGGGTGCAGGGTGTAGGGTTCAGGGTTCAGGGTTCAGGGTTCAGGGTTCAGGGTTTAGGGTTTAGGGTTTAGGGTTTAGGGTTTCGGCGCACCTATGCCCGAAACCCTAACCCCTGGATCCTCCAGACTGAGGTTATGGTCTCCCACCGATCCGGTGAAACCGAAGATGTTCCCTCGGTGGCAAATGAATCGTATAGGGTATAATTAGGGTTTAGGGTTTAGGGGTTCGGGGTTAGGTTTAGGGTTTAGGGCTTAGGGTTTAGGGTGTAGGTGTAGGGTTTAGGGTTTAGGGAATAGGGTTCAGGGTATCGGGCTGTGTTTAGGGTGTGGGGTTCGGGGTGTAGCCCCCAAGCCCCAGAAATTCAGTGGCCTTTTGCCCGCTGAAATGTCCCCCAAGCATGCTTGTGACAGCCCGACACGGCCCTGAACCCCAAACCCTACGCCCCAAACCCCAAACCCACTCAAACTCAGGCCCGGGGCCGTAAGCCCAATCTCCAAAACGTGCGGAAACCTGCAAGATATCCTTTGAACCAGCAAAGTTTTCGACCCCAAGTTATCTTGGTAGCCCAGTGGTACCCTTTTTCCTTTCTTCTTGGTTCAAGGTTCCCTTATAAAGTACAAACCTTAAACCCAAAACCTAAACCCGAAACG